TCTCTCTCTCTCTCTCTCTCTCTCTCTCTCTCTTCTCTTTCGTTTCCTCCAAATGAGTCTCTTTGAGCGTGTTAACATTCGTTTCCTTGGAAGACGGAGACTGCAGGGAAAAATGATTAGTGAACGGTGTTTCGACTTATTAGGCTGCCGCACTAATTTCGCTTGGTCTCTCTCTCTCTCTCTTCTTTCTCTTTCTCTTTCTCTCTTCTCTTTATCTCTTTCTCTTTTCTCTTTCTCTTTCTCTTTCTCTTTCTCTCTCTTTCTCTTTCTCTTCTCTCTCTTTCTCTCTTCTCTCTCTCTCTCTCTCCTCTCTCTCCTCTCTCTCTCTCTCTCTCTCTCTCTCTCCTCTCTCTCTCTCTCTCTCTCTCTCTCTCTCTCTCTCTCTCTCTCTCTCTCTCTCTCTCTCTCCTTTCTCTCTTTCTCTTTCTCTTTCTCTCTTTCTTCTCTCTTTCTCTCTCTTTTCTCTCTTTCTCTCTTTGTCTTTCTCTACTTCTCTCTCTTTCTCTCTCTCTCTCTCTCTTTCTCTCTTTCTCTCTTTCTCTCTTTCTCTTTCTCTTCTCTTCTCTCTCTCTCTTTCTCTCTCTTTCTCTCTCTCTCTCTCTCTCTCTCTTTCTCTTTCTCTTTTTTCCTCTTTCTCTTTCTCTCCCTCTCTCTCTCTCTTTCTCTCTCTCTCTCTTTCTCTCTTTCTCTCTTTCTCCTCTTTCTTCTCTCTCTCACTATCTTTCTCTCTCTCTATCTTTCTCTCTCTCTATCTTTCTCTCTCTCTATCTTTCTCTCTCTCTCTTCTCTTTTCTTTTCTCTTTTCTTTTCTCTTTTCTTCTCTCTTTTCTCTTTCTCTTTCTCTTTCCTCTTTCTCTTTTCTCTTTCTCTCCCCCTTCTCTCTCTCTCTCTCTCTCTCTCTCTCTCTCTCTCTCTCTCTCTCTCTCTCTCTCTCTCTCTCTCTCTCTCTCTCTCTCTCTCTCTCTCTCTCTCTCAAACACAAAGGGAAAGGGAGAGAGAGAGAGAGAGAGGGAGAGAGACGGAGAAACAGAAATCAAGAGGAAGAGGAAGAAAGAAAAAAAACGCAAAGGGAAAGAGATAGGGGGGGAAGGAGAGACAAGAGAGAGGAAGGGGGAAAATAGAAAGGAAGAAAAAGAGAGAGAGGGAAGGAATTAAAAAGAGAGATGGAGGTTGTCTAAGTGTGTGTACTCAGCGCGGAAGTGAATCTGGATATGGCCGGAAAAAATCAAGTGATTCGTTGCTCATTTGTTTCTGTATTAATCTATCTTTCTCTCTTTCTCTCTCTATCTACCTCTCTATCTCTCTATCTATCTATATCTCTCTATCTATCTATCTCTTTATATCTATTATTTATATAATATTTCTCTCTCTTTTTCGATCTAAAATAGGAGTCCCCTTCTTTCTTTCTTTGCCTTTTCCTCTTCTCTCTCCCTCCTTTCTCCTTCCCTTCCGTCCCTTCCTCACCCTTCGTATATGCCGCCCCCCTCTCATATCCCTAATCTTCCCTCTTTCCCCTCTTTTCCCTTTATCAAATAAAGAGAACAAGGAAATCTTAAAAAAAAAAAAAAAAAACTATTGAACCAAAATTGCCTATTGGAAATAGATCCTCCTTGTTATGTCGGCGCCATGTTGCTGATGACGTTTAATCCGACTGCGGGCGGAGAAAATTACGCGAACGGATTACTGTGCTTCAAGCGGATTCATGCAGATTCATGCGGATTGTGGAGGGTCCGTTCGTAGCTCGTTGAAAAATGGCCGATGGTTCTTTTGTCTTCTCTTTTTTCATTCGGAGTTTATTTGCGCTTGGGGGTCTATTTTTCGTATCCGGATGAGAAGTAGACTGGGAGGGGAAGGAAGCGGATGAGGAGAGAAACGGACGAATAGATGGAGCCAGAAGTGGATAGGAAGGGGGGAAATTTTCTTGGGGAAAAAATGGCGGGAAATTTTTCGTGGATTTAAAAAGGCGGGGAAACGTCAAACGATATTTTAATCATTTGAATACTTTTTTAAACGCTTAGACTCAAAACTTAAAGGAAATACGGTTAAAGAAAATTTGACTACCAACTTTAAAACGATAATGATTGCGATGAATAAAACAATATTCATGAAACCGTCTCCATTGCAAATACGACCCCAAGAAGAGCCTAATCAAAGTCGAAATCGCATCAACAAAACGAAAAACTTGAGAAATTGCACTTTTTTTCCGTCTCCATTGAGAAGTCTGGAAAGTGCTTGAACAAATTCCCGGGTGGAGTTTAAATGAACGTCGGCCATGTTTGTCTTTGCCGAGTCGGGGTCGCAATGAGACATGCTTATTCTTTGGCGGCGGGACCTTCGCCGTGGGCTAGGATGCACGCACACGCACACGCACAGATGCGCAGACGTACGCACGCACACATGCACCCACGGACGCACAAAAATGTGTATTTACACTGTGTATGTGAGGGAGAACGTGCATTTATATGTATATAAACATTTACATTCACATATATACATAAACATACACACTTGCATACATATATATAATAACATGCATATGTACATGAATACATATATAGACATGCACATATACACATACATATATACACATATAAATATGAACATATATATACATGTATACATTTATAAATACATAACATAAATACATAGCATAAATACATAACATAAATACATAACATAAATGCATAACACACACACACACACACACACCACACACACACACACACACACACACACACACACACACACACACACACACACACACACACACACACACACACATACACATACACATACACACACACACACACACACACACACACACACAACACATACACAACACATACACACACACACACACACACACACACACACACACACACACACACACACACACACACACACACAACACACACACACACACACACACAACACACACACACACATATATATATATACATATATATATATATATATATATATATATATATATAATTATATATATATAATGACATAAAAATATAAAAACCAGCAGTGAGATCGAGGAAGTTGCCGCCAATCCCGCAGCCGAGAAGCAAAATCTCATTTCGTCTCAGTGTTCTCGCGGCCGGAAAATTGTCCTAATAAGGCATCAGGAAGGAAGGCTTCTTTTCGTCTCTACGTCTCGCTCGCGTCTATTTCGTTTTTTTCTATCTCTTTTGTTTTTTGTTTATTTTTTTCGTAACTCTCGTTTTGGGATTTTCTTCATTCCTCTCTCCTTCGTTCCTCCTTTTTCTCCCCTCCTTCCATTTTCTCTACTGCCTCTCTCTCTCACTCCCTCCCCCTCCTACCCCCCCCCTCAAATCTCCCCTTTCACCTTCTCTCCTCTCCCTTCCTTTCTCTCCCTCTCTCCCTCTCCCCTTCCTTCTCTCCCTCTCCCTCTCCCTTCCATCTCTTCCTCATCCTTCCTTGTCCCAATCTCCTCTCTCCTCTCTCTCTCTCTCCTTCCCTCCATCCTTTCCTCTCCCTCTTTCCTTTCTCCTTTCTTACCCTCTCCTCCTCCCTCCTTCCTCTCCTCACCCCTCCTCCTTCCCCCCTCTTCGCCTTCCCCTTCCCTCCACCCCTTCCTCCACCCTTCCCTTCCTTCCCCCCTTCCCTCCTTCCCTCCCTTTCTTCCTCCTTCCCCCCTGCACAAAACCCCCAAATCCGTACCAGATATTGAGTACCGTCGCGCCGAACACCCGAAGCCGAAGCCGAAGCCATATCGGGTGAACAATGGCGCGGTGGCGTTGTCCGAAAGGGTTTGGAAAAGGGAAGGAGAAAGTCTGGTTAGAGCATGGTGAACGAATCGTAGGAAAGGGAGAGAAAGTTAACAGGCCGAGGATAAACAAGCAAACAAAATCAATTTATCGGATTTTTCTTTTTATTTTTTTTTTTCACCAGGGGTCGGAGAGTTCGTTTTCGTAGGCTTGGGTTCTCACTCTTTTTATTTTTGCGCGCGCTTTATCCCTCTCCCTCCTTTTATTTATTTCTTCTCTCTTCTCACTTCTCTCTCGCTCTCTCCTCTCTCCTCTATCTATCTCTATCTCTCTATCTCTCTATCTCTCTCTCTCTCTCTCTCTCTCTCTCTCTCTCTCTCTCTCTCTCTCTCTCTCTCTCTCTCTCTCTCTCTCTCTCCTCTCTCTCTCTCTCTCTCTCTCCTCTCCTTCCTCCCTCTTCTCCCTCCCTCCCTCCCTACTCCCTCCCTCTCTCCCTCCCTACCTCCCTATCTCCCTCCTTCCTCTCCTTTTCCTTTCTTTCCCTCCCTCCCACCGCTCTATTACCCCCACACCCACCCATCACCCACCCCCACCCCCACCCATCACCACCCTCTACCTCCCTCCTTCTGCGCCTCCTTCAGATCGACTTCGGCAACGTGCGCGTCCCCGCCCGCCTCGACTACCCCCGCCCGCAGAAGATCGACGCCCTCCCGACCTTCGAGCACGGCGTCTCCTCCGACAGGATCGTGGTCGTCGACGCTCAGACCTTCCTCATCCCCAACTTCAGTTATGATGGACAGGCCCCTGGTAAGCTCGTTTTTGTTTTTGTTGGTGGTTTTCTTTTTTTTTTTTTTTTTTTCTTCTCTCTTCTTCTCTTCTTCTCTTCTTTGTCCTTCTTTTCTCTCCTTCCTCTCCCCAACTTCAGCTACGATGGACAGGCCCTGGTAAGCTCTCTTTTTTCGTTGTTTTTTTTCTTCTTCTTCTTCTTCTTTTTCTTTCTTCTTATTTTTTTTCTTTTTCTTCCTCTTCTTGTGTTCTTCTTCTCCCCTTCCTAATCCCCAACTTCAGTTATGATGGACAGGCCCCTGGTAAGCGCTCTTTTTTCTTTTTCTTCTTTTTTTGTTGTTCTTTTTTATTGATTTCTTTTTTTTTCTTTTTTCTTCATTTCTTCTTTTTTTCCTATTTCATTTCTTATTCATTTCATCGTCTGTTTCTCTTCTTCTTTTTCCTTTCCTCTTCTTTTGTTCTTCTTCTCCCCTTCCTCATCCCCAACTTCAGCTACGATGGATAGGCCCCTGGTAAGGCGTCTTCTCCTTCGTTTTTCTTTTTCTTTTCTTCTTCTTCTTCATGGTTTGGTTTTGTTTCATTTTGTTTTTGTTGTTGTTGTTGTTCTTCAGCCTTTTTTCATTTCTTCTTTTTCTTTTTCTTCTTCTGTTTTCTTCTTCTCTCCATCCTCATCCCTAACTTCAGCTCCTGATAAGCGTTTTTTGGGGGGCTTTTGCTTTTTTCTTCTTTTTACTTTATCATATTTCTTCCCATTATTCTCCTTCTTTTTTTCTTTTTTCTTCCTCTTCTATTACCACCTCTACCACCACCACCAGTCTTTATTATTATTATTACTTATCTCCTTTATCATTTCATTTTTCTTTTATTCATCGTCTACCATTTTTAATCACTACTTCCCTTTTCTCCCCTCTACCTCTCCTCTCCCTTCTCTCCTTTCTCTCCTCCTCCCCTTTCACTACTCCCCCCCCTTCTTCTCCCCTCCACCTCTCTTTCACCCCTTTCACTCTTTCCCCTACTCCCCCCCCCCCCCCTTTCCTCTCCCCCCTCCCCCCCCCCCCCCCCCCTGAATCTCCCAAGACATGAGTCTCCGCCTCATTATTCCATGCTGATCGGAGGACGCTAATCTTGGGCTCGGATTTTTCCCCGTTACATGAAGGGATGGACGGAAGCCTCGTTAATTGCTCTCTCCCACGCGCCTCCTCCTCCTCCTCCTCCTCCTCCTCCTCCTCCTCCTCCTCCTCCTCCTCCCTCCTCCTCCTCCTCCTCCTCCTCTCTTCCTCTCCTCCTCCTCCTCCTCCTGGACCTCCTCCTGGTCTCTCCTCCTCCCTCCGGTCCTCCTCCTCCTACCTCCTCTTGGCCTCCTCCTCCTCCCTTCTCCTTCCTCCTCCTCCTCATCCTCTTTCTTCCTCGCCTTCTCTTCCTCCTGGTCTTTCCTCCCTTCTTCCTCCCCATCTTCCTCCTTCCTCCTTCTTCTCTTCCTCCTCCTCCTCCTCCTCTTTCTTCCTCCCTTCTCTTCCTCCTCCTCCTCCTCTCCTCCTCTCCTCCTATCTCTTTCTCCTCTTCCTCCTCCTCCTCCTCCTCGTTTCTCTTCCTCGCTTCCTCCTCTCCCCTTCCTCCTCTCCTCCTCCTCTTCTCTTTCTCCTTCTCTCTTTCTCCTTCTCCTTCTTCTCCTCCCCTCGCCTTCTCTTCCTCCCTATCTTCTTTCTCCTCTTCCTCCTCCTCCTCGTTTCTCCCTCCTCGCTTTCTCCTCTCCCCTTCCTCCCTCCCTCCCTCCCTCCTCCTCCCTACCTTTTAAGAGAAAAAAAAAAGGATTTACTGGGTCGGTTCTTTGTGCTCTTCTCCGTGTCTCCCTTTTTCACTTTTTTGTCGTTCTCTTTTGCTTTTTTCCTGTTGTTTTCATGTTGATAATGTTGCTTCTGCCCGTCTTTATCTTTCCATGCATTCTTCACTCTCCATTCTCTATCCTTGTTCTCTCTCGTTCCTTTTTTCCGTCTCTTCTTTCCTCCCTCTTCCTCCCCCCCCCCCTCCACCTGTCTTCCTCCTTTTCCCTTCCTTCTTCCATTCTCCTGAGCCTTTCCTTTAACACATCTTTCCTCCTCCATATTTTAATCTTCCCCAGTCTTTGCTTCTTCCTCTCCATATTCCTCCTCCTACCTGCCTCCTCCCTCCTTTCTCCTTACCTCCCTCCTTCCTTGTTTCCCTCCCTCCCACCTCCTCCATCCTCCCTTCTCCACCCTCCCTCTCCCCCTCCCCTCCCCCCCCCTCCCCCCCCTCCTCCCCTCCCCTCCCCTCCTCCCCTCCCTCCCCCTCCCCCTCCCCCTCTCCCCCACCACCACCCTTCGTCTCTCATTTTTTCCCCATCACATTTTTTTTCCCGAAGACTCTCCATTAATTTCTTGAGGACCGTAGATATTTCTGTAGACCTTTTGTTTTTTTTTCCGGCGTCTTTGGGGATTACTCTTGTTATTGACAGAGACTGACTGATTGCCTTTTTTTTCTTTCTTTTCTCTCTGCCTCTCATTCCAAGTTGTTATATATATATATATATATATATATATATATATATATATATATATATATATATATATATATATATATATATATATATATATACATATATATATATATAATATATATATATATATATATATATAATATATATATATATATATATATATTATATATATATATATATACATATATATATAATGTTTCTGTGGCCCTCTTCCTCTTTCGTTTTTATTGACCTTGTTATTAATTTGATATTACTCTGTTTGTTCCAATCTAAGTTTTCCACTTTCTTATTTTCGTTAATTTCCCGTTTTTTTCTTCTTGGCGATTTGTTTGAATTTCCTTCTTTATCCCATATTTTTTATTACCTCCTCTTATTCCGTCTTTGTTCTCCTCTCCTATCTTCGCCACATACCTCATGCCGGCCAGCATACCAGCCCAACCATTCAATTCCTCAAAGTAATATTAGTTTAAGATAATTTCCATTCAGGTTTCTCCCATGGCGGTAATTATCTTTGTATGAATTCATTAGCACCTGTAATTGCTCTCGCCGGTGGGCAATTAAGCGCGTCGCCTTTGTTTTTTATCGATAATTGAATATTCATGGGGATGTTTTTATTGGCGCTTTTCGCTTTCTCTCTTTTTCTCCTGCTCTCCTCATTCCGTTCTTTCCTCTCCTAAACCTCCCTTCGCTGTTCTTTCTTCTTTCGCCGTCTCCTTTTCCGTTATTCCTCATTTTTCTTCCCTTTATTCCTCTTCTTCCTCCCTTCATTCCTCCTCTTCTTCTTTTTCCTTCCTTCTTTCCTCTTCTTCTTCCTCCTTTTCTTTCATTCCTATCCTTTTTCTCATCCGCTCTCCCTCCCTTCATCTCTTTCCCCTCTTCCATCTTCCTCTCCTGTCTTCCCTCCCCTCTCCTTCCTCCATTTCTCCTCTCCCTTTTTTGCCTTCCCCGTTTCTCACCTCCTCAACTTCCCTCTCCACTTCCCCTCCACTTCACCTTTATTCCTCCCGTCCATCACCCCCACCATTTCTTCCACCACTCCACTCTCCACCACTTCCCCCACCCTCCCCCCTCTCCTCACCCCTCATCCCCTCACCCCCACCCCCCCCGCTCACCCCTCCCCCCCCTCCCTCACCCCCTCATTCCCTCTCACCCCACCCTCATCCCCTCACCCCCACCCCCCCACCGCTCACCGCCTCTCCCCCTCCCTCACCCCTTCCCCCCCTCCCCACCCCCTCTCCCCCTTCCCTCTCCCCCCTTCCCCCTCCCCCACCCCCCACCCCCACCGCTCACCCCCCCTATCTCACCCCCCACCCAACCCCCCCCAACCCCCACCGCTGACCGCCCTCTCCCCTCTCCCCAGACGGCCACTTCTGGGTGGGCAAGGGCGCGACGCCGGGCCCCAGCGGCAACATGGTCCCCGACGAGAACGGGTCCGAGGAGCCCCTGAAGCGCTACTCGGGCAAGACCATCGTGATCACCCTCCCCGGCGACCAGACCGTGTTCGACATCGACCACCTGAGCGTGTGGTGCCGCGCCTTCTTCGCCGACTTCGGCCACGTGCGCGTGCCCAAGAACCTGAACGTGCCGCCCTCGCTCAAGATGCTCGGCGTCGCCCCGCAGGTCAGTGGACGGAGGCGGGCGCGCGCTCGCGCGCTCTCTTCCTTTTCTTTGGTTTATTTGTTTTTTTTTATTTACTTATTATTAGTTTTTTTATTTACTTATTTTTTATTCATTTTACTTATTCATTACTTATCTATTTATTTTTACTTATTTTGTTCATTTACTTATTCATTTTTCATTTACTTATTTATTTTTCATTTACTTATTTATTATTATTTACTTTTTATTTATTCATTTACTTATTTTTAATTTACTTATTTATTTATTCATTTACTTATTTATTTATTCATTTACTTATTTATTTGTTTATTTGTTTATATACTTGTTTGTTCATTTATTTATTTGTTTGTTTTTAAATGTATTTTTGTGCCATTTGTACTTTTATTTTCCATTTTTTATGTTTGATTCTTTTCTCATTTGTTCATTTAATTGTTCGTTTCTGCTTTTCTTCTTTTAGGGAAAAATATCTCTTTACGGTGTACATTATTATGTGTGGTTGTCTCTCTTTGTTTTCAATTTGACCTTATTTAGATATTATCTAGATTTAGAGGTGTAATAGATAAAAGTGATTGTTATTGTCCGTCAGACACAGAAAAGGGTAAGTAAAAGGATTGTTTTAATTCGATCCAAAAATATTCTTCGGAAAGGATATGCAGATGTAATCAAACAGATATTTTTTTTCTGTCAACTTTACACATATTACATATACATTGTGAAGGAAGCGTGCTCTGGTATCACATAAGAGGTTATTATAAACTTCGACCTTAAGGTGACGAATATTGGAATTTTGTAATCGGATGATCGAGTAAATTCGCCAACGAAACGGGAAAAACATTAATGCATATTTAGAATAATTCTAAGAAATTCTTTTCATTTACGTTACGGCGCTCTCACACGAGCATTTCCATCACCAACAAATCTTGCAGCCCAGGGGGAAGGTGTGCCAGTCGTCCCGTGGGCACCCTGGGCACACGGCGGCTAGTCCATCGCCCAAGGGAAGAAGTTCAGTAAGCAAAACTTAGCGCTTAAAACGCAACACGACCGTGTCAACAAAGATGGCGGTGCATCTGCGGTAAAATCAAATTTGATGCAGAGATGATCAATCTGAAAGTGGGAGAGTCGAGAATGTCTTGTGCTTAAATACAAAATAGCAATAAAAGTATTGAATGCAATGAATATAATTAAAGATAACCAATAGATTACATATTTTCACTAAGAGATGTCCTTGTTTCTCGCCCGTGTGCGCGCATTCGAACGATGCTGAGCACGCGCTGAAAACCAGCGCTAAACGGGGAATCCGCGGTCGCTTTCAGGCATTTGTAAGCGAAAAACCGCTCGTGTGACCTTTTGAAAATAACGGGATATTTCATAAAACTGTTACTATAAGAAGATCATAGAGAAAGATTAATATAGATTGCAAAGAACTGAAAGGATGTAAAATCATTTGCCTGCAGCACGGTACAGCTCAACGGAATGCAAAAACATATACGAAACGGTAACTTTTCTCATATGTTAGACGCTCACACAAGCTCAAAAACATCCATTCTAAATCTTCTTTCGTTCCTCCTTTTTTTTACTATCTGCAGAGGAGAGACGAGTTCACACGTGATTACGATTTGGATGTCAAAGCGATTCGTATCCAACATTCTATTTTTATCCGAGCCATTTTCATTTTCGTTATATATTTTCATTTTCTTTTTTCTCTTTTTTGAAAGTGGCAGTACCCGATGAACGAATGATCGCCGATCGACATTTGAGAAGTTTTTAAGTTAATCCTCTTTTCCGGCCAAAATCCATTTCGATGAAAGTGCTCCGCAAAAAAATATATATATATAGATTCAGAGTCGCTTTTGGGGAAAGAGATCTACTTTCATGCATATATACTTTTTTTCTCTACATCCCAGATGTATTAACTTTTCTCATTATTGTTTTTTATGAATCTGTTTTTTATGATTTTTTTTTTTTTTTTTTTCTTTTGGAAAGTGATGCTGCCTTATTTAAAATCCCTTTACGGAAACGGACATATCCGCGGTCAGTCATTTGTTTTTGGAAAAGTATCTCCAAGGTTATTCTTTTTTCAGTGAAACCGCGTTTTTATTTTGGTACATAGGATATATACTCAATATACATATAATTTATACATACAATATATACTTATAATGTATACTCATAATATATACTCATAAAATATTCTCAAAATATACTCTCTATTCTATCAAAATATACTCACTCATAAAATATACTCAAAAATTCTCACAAAATGTACTCAAAATGTACTCACAAATGTACTCAATATGTACAAAATGTACTCACAAAATGTACTACAAACTGTACTACAAACTGTACTACAAACTGTACTCACAAACTGTACTGTACTACTGTAACACTGTACTCACAACATGTACTCACAACATGTACTCACAACATGTACTCACAACATGTACTCACAACATGTACTCACAACATGTACTCACAAAATATACTCACAAAATATACTCTCAAAATGTGCTCAATATATGCACCCATAATATATATTCACATGATAATAATGATATATACTCATGATATACGCTCCTAATATACACTCATACTATATACTCATACTACATACTCATACTACATACTTCTGATATTCGCTCACAGTTTATTCCCGTAAACGAAAGAGGGCATACATTTTCCCGCCAAAATTTTCAACGTGAGGGAGTGTGTAGGTAAAGGTGGCGACGGCGTCTTGGTTGCTTGCACTTAGTAAACTAGTTTAGTCATTAATGCAATGTAACACCTAGTTTTGCAATTGATATGCAATACATAAACGAGTGGTTGAGTATCTGAATGCATTATGAGTGCGTGTTACTTTCAAGCGTCTGTGTTGAATGTAGATTAATGAATGTGTTTAATTTTTTTATAACCATGAATAAGTTGAGGAATAAGTGCATAAATGTGAGTGAATGAGTAAACGAGAGTGTGGATGGATGTGTGAGTGAATTGGTGAATGGATGAGTGAGTAATTGAGTGCGTGCGTGCGTGCGTGTAGAGGTGTCCGTTGATCTATAAAAAAGTGGACTAAAGGTGATTGTTGCTTCCTCCAATAGCTTGATCGTAGCACCAGTTGAACACCGCTTCTAGCATCACTCTTAGCATCAAAACTCTACAAGATCACACCACACTGCTTTAATTAGTCCCTAACTTGTAAACCTGCATCAACCATTCCTTTAAACCTCCCAAAATAAAACAACTAAATAAAAGGCTAAACCAAAACTAAAAATCTTTAACCCCGGGTTCTCTTGATTTGGTGTTTCAGTCGCACGGCTCAGGCTACGCCTACGAGCCCCCCTCCCCCTCACGCCCGTCTTTCTCCTACGCGCCTCAGACCACCCCCTCCCCCGCACCACCACCCCGCCCCCCGGCACCCCCACCACGACCTAGGTACTCTTTCCCCTCACGACCTGCCCCCTCCCCACGACCCCCGTACGACGCCGCCTCCCCGCCCCTACTCCCCCCTGCCACCACGCGCAGACCCCCTACGTTGCCCCACCACGCGCCGACCCGCCCCCCCGCAACCCCTACCGGCCCGCCCCCACCACTCGCAGACCTTTCTACCAACCCCGCACCACGCCCCCCACCACCACTCGCAGACCGTACACGCGACCTACCACAACCCGGGTGCCTTACCACCTGCGGACCACAACCAGGAGACCTCCCTACACCACGAGACCGCCCCGCCACGGACAGTTACGAGGCCCCCAGTGCCACCCACGGACGCCCCAACCACGACTTGAAAGGCGATGGGAGATCAGACGCCGGCGCTGCTCCTGCTGCAGGCGCTGCTGGAGGGTCGTCGAGGTTCCCGCCGGCGCCGCGGACGAAGGCCAGCTCCTCCTCCTCCTCGTCCATTCCCCCTCCTCCTCGTCCTCCTCCTCCTTCCCCCAAGGGCCCCTCCCGCCAGCAGCCACTTCGGCCTCCCCCGCCACCGCTTCGCCGCCCCGGCCCCCAGGCGAGGGCCTCCCCTCGAGGAACCCGAAGCCCCCCAGCCCCCGAGGTCGTCCTCCTCCTCCCCTCGCAGAGCTTCAGCAGCTTCAGCTTCAGCAACGGGGGCGCGTCCTCCTTCTTCAACATCTACGGCTGAGTCCTCGGCGACAGGCGGCGCCCGCTCGGAAATAGACAGCTGGCTCTCATTTTCTTTGACTAACATTTTACTATTACTTCTATTTATTTGCTTATTTATTTATTTACTTATCTATCTATCTATTTATTTATATATCATTCATTCATTTCTGCATGTACGTCATTTTAAGGTTCGATCTTTCGCTTTCCAGCAAATTATAAAAATCGTCCTTTTTCTACTCGGTGTGTGTATGCTGCATATACTCTACGTGCATATTCCCTGTGATACATAATAATACTTCAAAGATTTTTTCGTGACAACGCCACGAACACTTTCTCCATTACCCATTAGATTAAAGGGATATTGATGGATACATCTATTTCGATCGATAGGACGATTACAGCTCTGCATTTCTGCCGCCATGACGCCTCCGTTATGTTGCTTGAGGGAGCGTTGCTATAAATGTACCTTGTCCATATTTATGTAATTTATCTGCCTAATTTATATCTAATTTATTCCAGTACGTTTCTTGTGTATTGGTGATTAAAGATTCAAACATGAATTGCCTTAGGTTTAAGTATATGATCTATTTATATATTTATATATTTATAATATTATTATAACGATGATTTTATTATGTATTTTACTGCTATTTAAGTAGTTAGTTTGGGTACGTAGGACGAGCATATTTTTTGTGCCGAAGTTGATTTTTCGTTACGCTTTTGTTTCTTCTTTTGTCGCTAATCGTCGTTTTTTTTTCTACTTTTTTTTTTAATTTCGGCTTTCGTAATTTTTCGTCGCATATTTGTCACGTGATTTTTTTACTTTCTGTTTTTTCCGTCATTTTCTCTCTCTGAAGTATTTTCTTCCAGAGGACATTTTGGCGCGGATTTTCCATAAAATGTTTTTTTCCCTTTTTTTTCTTTTTCTAATAATGTCTTAGCTTGTTCGGACAATCTAAGTTATTTCGATCACTAGTTTTTATTTATTCATGGACTCTAAAGTATTTCTATTGCCATACATATTTCCATCAAAAGAAGATATTGTAATTAATCGATCGTTTAGTTTTTTTTGATTTCCCAGGTTGTCTTTCATTTTTCTTTCAACACGCTTAGAGGAAGCGATTCGAATGGCTAGTGGAAGGGGGGAATGCATGGTACTCTGATCGAGATATACTCATTCTCTCTCTCTCTCTCGCTCTCTTCTCTCTCTCTCTTCTCTCTCTCTCTCTCCTCTCTCTCTTCTCTACTTCTCTCCTCTCTCTCTCTCTCTCTCTCTCTCTCTCTCTCTACTCTCTCTCCCTCCATCCCTTGTCTCCTCTCTCTCTCTCTCTCTCTCTCAATCTCTCTTCTCTCTCTCTCTCTCTATCTCTCTTCTCTCTCTCTTCTTCTCCTCTCTCCTCTCCTCTCTCTCTCTCTTCTCCCTCTCTCCTTTCTCTCCTCCTTCTCCCCTCTCGCCCTCTCCCCCTCTCTCCCCTCTCTCCTCTCTCTCTCCTCATACTTCTCTTTCATCTCTCTCTCTCTCTCTCTCTCTCTCTCTCTCTCTCTCTCTCTCTCTCTCTCTCTGCTTCACTCTCATCTCTCCTCCATCTCTTCACTCTCCCCCTCTACCCTCTTTTTCTCTTCTACTTTCTCTTCTCATTTCTCTTTATTTCTCTTTCTCTTACTATCCTATACCTCCTTAACCTCCTACTACTCTCTCACTTATCACCCTCCTCACCCTTCCCTACTACCTCCCTCCCTCGCCTCCCTTCCATCCCTCCCTTCCCTCCCTCCCTCTCTCTCTTCATCTCTCTCTCTCTCCTTCTCTCTCTCTCTCTCTTCTCTCGTTCTCATCTACTCTTCTTCTATCTCTCTATCATCTTCTATCTCTTCTGTGTCTTTTCTCGTTGTCTCCCTTCTCGTTTATTCTGCTCCCTCTCATCCCTCCCACTTTCTCATCTCTCACCCCACTCTCTCCTATCTCTACTCCCCCCCTTCTTATCCCCCTCTTACTCCCCCTACTCTCCCTACCTCTCTCCCTACCTCTCTACCCCTCATATGCCCCTCTCCCCTATCCTCTATCTCGCTCTCTCTCTCTCTCTCTCTCTTCTCTCTTCTCATCTTCTCTCTCTCTACCTCTCTCTCTTCTCTCCTCTCTCTTCTATCTCTCTCTCTCTCCTCCTCTCTCTCTCTCTCTCTCTCTCTCTCATCTCTCTCTTACTCTCTCTCTCTCTTCTCTTTTCTCTCTACTTTTCTCTCCCTCCTTCACCTCCTCTCTCTCTCCCCCTTCTCTCCCACCTTATCTTCCCCTTCATCATTACCTACCTATGTATTATATGATCACTGCTCCTCTCTCTACCCCTTACTTCTCACCCCTCTTCTCGAATTCCCCCTCTTCTCCCCTCTCTCAGCCTCCTCTCACCCCCATGCCCTCTCCCCTCTCTTCTCTCATCTCTCTCTCTCTCCTCTCTCTCTCTCTACTCTCTCTCTCTCTTTCTCTCTCTCTCTCTCTCTCTCATTCTCTCTCTCTCTCTCTCTCTCTCCTCTCTCCCTCTCCCTCTTTATCTCTTTTCTCTTTCTCTTTCTCTTTCTCTTTCTCTCTCCCTCCCTCCTCTACCTCTCTCTCCTCTCTCCTCCTCCCTCTTCTCTCTCTCTCTCTTCTCTTCTCTCTCTCTCTTTTCTCTCTCTCTCTCTCTCTCTCTCTCTCTCTCTCTCTCTCTCTCTCTCTCTCTCCTCTCTCTTCTTTCCATTATTCTTTTCTTTTCAACAACTTCTCGAGTGTTTTTTCTCGACTATTGTTCGTCACCGGCGTCAGTTCTTCGTTTTCATTACTGTCCTTCGGAACTCTTAATTGCGTTCTTTCTTCGTCTCCTCATTTTCGCTTCTCGCCCTTCTCTTCTTTTCCTTCTTCTGTAATCATCATCTCAACATTTCCTCCGCGTTCTTCTTTCTTACTTCCTTTTCTTCTTTTTCTGCATCATCATCATCATTTCTCCGTCCCTTCTTCTTCTTACTCCTTTCCCTTCTTCCTTTCCTCGTCTTACTCTCTTCCTCTCTCCTCTCCTCTCCTCCTCTCACTTTTCTTACCTCTTCTTTTCCCACTCATTCTTTTCTTTCCTTTCCCTTCTCCATGCCTTAATTCTCGTTTTTCTTCCTCCCCCCTTTCTTCTCTTCTTACCCCCCCCCCCCCTTCGCGCCAAAAAAAAAAGCGAATCGCTTCTCATCATTATTCTCTATGGCTTCCGGCGGGATTTGGAAGAGTTTCCATCGCCAAGCCTTTTTTCCTTTTATATCAGTACTTACCTTCAGTTAATCATCTACTCCGATGGGAACTTAATTGAAGCTTAGTAAAATACGTGCACCGCTTTTTCCAACTGACGCCTTCCCACTGATGCCATTTTCCTTTACATTCGGATGAGGTCGTTCTCCGAAAGCCAATCACGTGTAGTGCCGCGATGTTGCCGTGTCCGAAAGCGAGGTTTACGCCTTAATTCTACCTTTTTTTAAATATTTTGTTAATTAAGAGTTCAAATGTGTTTCAGCAACATCTCTATGGTGTGAGTTTGTTTTTTTCCCGCTCTTACCGGTGCTGCATTTAATAAAGATCAACAGGCAAAATGTGTTTATCATTATCCCTTCCCGCCCTTTTTTCCAGGCTTTACGGTGGATATATAATACAATTTTTTGGGAATTTGAACCAAATATGAAATATACTGCAGAGTTGTAGGTAATTGATTTAGCGAGTCCTTTACCTCTCTGCAATATTTCTATCCAGCTCGATTCCTTGTGAAGAGGAAGACTTATGCATCAGAGATTTTTATTTACTAATATGTATATACATTTTTTAATATGCAGAAGCCATGTAATAGAGAGGAGTTTCAATAAAGCACGGGGTTGAAATTAAAGATGAAGAGATGTAACAAAGTCTGTATTAAAAAAAAAAACTATATAATAACAGTGATATTAAATTTGTAATTAAAAGATATATAAAAATGCATTCGTCTTCAGTATTGAATATTTCAGGTAAGAAAAGAAGAGACTTTGCTCACCTAAGACTTGTGACTCTTCACCGTGTAGACAAGATGGCGTCGCATTAAAACTTTGGATACGCTAAATCACCCGATTTAGAATACGTTTTAGACTTTAAGCTTCGGATGGTGACGGAAATCTATGATGTTTTCACAGTATTATTTTATTTGTAGCCCTATTTTCCTCTTTTCTGTTTTTAGTTATTCTTTTATTATTTTATTTTCCATAGACATGCAATAAACAGGTCAAAATACCCTAAATATGGACTTAATACGATTTACCTCACAGAGAATCCAAAGACCCGCCATTATATCGATCTTCATCGCAACACTTTCCCGAAACGACCTTTTTTTTACCCCAAAACGACATTTTTGCTTTTCTTTATGACACTCCTTCGTGCCCACGTGACCTGACCTTTACCCCTTACATGACCTGGTTGCAGACGAAGCTGAACTGTGAAGTGCTGTGGGACGACTTGGCCTTCGAGGTCCGCTGGGCCGTCGCCGGGGAGTCCATCGTCATGCAGCTCGTCGGGAGGATCGGTGAGTCGGTCTTTTGTGTCGGTGGGGGTTGTTTCCTTTCTGTTTTTTGTGGTTTTTTTTCTTTCTTGTTCTCTCTATCTATCTCCCTCTCTTTCTCCCTCTACTTCTCCTTCTCCTTCTCCTTCTCCTTCTCCTTCTCCTTCTCCCTCTCCTTCTCCCTCTCTTTCTCCCTCTCCTTCTCCTTCTCCTTCTCTCCTTTCCTTCTCCCTTCTTCTCTCTTCTCCACTTCTCCCCTCTTCTCTCTCTCTCTTCTCCTTCTCTCCCTCTCTTCCCTCTTCCCTCTCCTCTCCCTCTCCCTCTCCCTCTCCTTCTCCCTCCCTCCCTCCTCTCCTCTCCCTCTCCCTCTCCCTTCTCCCCTCTCCCTCTCCCTCCCAATCCTTTCTTTCCTTTCCTCCATCCTGCTTCTCCCCCTCTTCCTCTTGTTCTCTCTCCCTTCTCTTCCTCTCCTCCTCTTTCGATATACGTGTTTCAACTAAACTACATTTTTTTTACAGTTTCCCTTAAAAAAAAGAATGAAAGCGCGTTTGCAATAATTATTATCAAACTCAGTACGAGCCTCGATTTTATAATCTTTGTACAGCATATAAATATTGTGAAATGGCTCGCGGATATTCGGTATAAGATTTTTTTTTTCGCTTTTTCCTTTTTTCTATCCTGCTTTGTGCGTTAATTAGTGGTCTTTCACATTGCATTATTCCGTAATTCTTTATTCCTTCTGTTTCTTCTTTTCCCCTCTCCCTCTCCTCTCCCTCTCCCTCTCCCTCTCCCTCTCCCTCTCCCTCTCCCTCTCCCTCTCCCTCTCTCCCTCTCCCTCTCCCTCTCCCTCTCCCTCTCCCTCTCCCTCTCCCTCTCCCCTCTCCCTCTCCCTCTCCCTCTCCCTCTCCTCCCCTCCTCCTCCCCTCTTTCGGATTATCTCAAAGTCGGATAAAATTCCCCCGAGTTCGGAATAAGGGGTGAGGGGTGGAGAGGGAGGGAGGGGGAAGGAGGAAGGAGGGAGGGAAGAGAGAGAGAGAGAGAAGAATAGGGCAAGGGAAGGAGGAGGAAGATAAAAGGAGCGAAAAGAGGGGGGAGATGGAGAAAGAGAGAGGAAGGGAGGAATGGGAAGGAGACATGAGATGGAGGAAGGAGAGGGTAAAGGTGCGTGCGTGTTGTATATATACATGTGTATGTAAGTGCACACGTCCATACGTACGTATATATATATGTACATAGCTGCGCGCTTGTCTCTATATGTATACTTCCCCTAACACTACTCCCACGACAAATATACTATTAATAGCACTGCGATAACGACCTTAAACGACCTTAAATGACCTTAAATGACCTCTCTAAAGGTCGTAGCAATGCAACGACCCTGCATTCGCTGTGCTGCTAACTGTGCCCCATTAAAGGTCATAGTTCCCCTCATTTCAAGGTGAATGTCGACCAGAGAGACTGTAATGGGCGTCTTCGTTATAGAGATGACGATGATAATGCGATTCGCAGGTTCCATTTGAAGTACATAACATTTAGAGAAAACAATTTTAAAGGAGTTGCTCTAGACGAATCCAAAGATGAAAGAGATTAAAATGTTTGCTGAAATTGAAGTTCTCGTGATGATTAACCTGCGATGTGCTTTTATAACGAGGCTCATAATGACCTTTGTAATTATGAAGTCATCAGCATAAAATACAAAAATTGCTACTTTGTTCTTCCTTTCTGCAGAACGCTGAAGATAATGCCTCTAGATATGTGAGACTTTTTGTGCAAGCTGCGCAATCTTTACATACGTTTACATAAGTATATTTATATACGTATATCGGTAGATTCTCTCTCTCTCTCTCTCTCTCTCTCTCTCTCTCTCTCTCTCTCTCTCTCTCTCTCTCTCTCTCTCTCTCTCTCTCTCTCTCTCTCTCTCTCTCTCTCTCTCTCTCTCTCTCTCTCTCTCTCTCTCTCTCTCTCTCTTTCTCTCTTTCTCTCTTTCTCTCTTTCTCTCTTTCTCTCTTTCTCTCTCTTTCTCTTCTTCTTCTCTCTTTTCTCTCTCTCTCTCATATATGTATATATATGTGTGTGTTAAATAAGTACAGTTGCGTAGTTCTGAAAGATGATTATATTAAAAAGACAAAAAAGGGAAGGTGATGCAAGGAAGTAGGAAGAATGAAAAAGAGAAAGAAAGAGAAGGGAAAAACTGAATTTTCTCTCCCTTTTCACATTACGGAAACTTACTCTTAATTATTTTGAACAAGTTTTTTATTTGACATTTCCCGCGCCCGCTTCAAATTCCATACCCTCCCCCTCCCCCTACCCCCATAAAAAAAGTTCCCACGCCAAGCAAAAATTTCCCACGCCTCTCTAATAATTCCCATCTAACCGCAATAACACTCGCCCCCTCCCCCTCCTTTCGAGCCCCCCTCCCCTCTCCCAACCCCCCCAACCCCTCACATTCCCAAGAGATCTTTGGCATCTCCTCATTCTCTCCTCATTTATTTTTCCGCTTCCCCTCTCCCCTCATTTATTACATCGCCTTTTATTTTCCCCTCATTTATTCTCTCTTCATTTCCCCTCATTTTTTGTTTCCTTTCCTCTTTTCCCTCATTTTTTGTTTCCTTTCCTCTTTTCCTCCTTTTATTCTTCTTCCCCGTTTTATTTTCCCACTTTTATTTTTCCTCTACTCTTTTCTCATTTATTCTTTCCCTTCCCCTCTCCCCGTATTCATGCTTCTCCTTCTTCTAATTTGCCCTTATTTTTTCTTTCCCTCCTCATTTCCCCTTTCCTTCCCTGCCCTCATTTCTTACTCTCTTCTCTCTCATCTTCTTGTACATTAAATTAATCTTTCCCATTCTCCCTTTCTTTCCTTCCTCTCTTACATCCTCCACACCCTGTCAGCCCTTCCCTCTCCCTCTTCCTCTCCTTCCTACCTATCCTCCTCCTCCTCCTCCAGGCCTCCTTCCCCTCCCTCCTCCCCACCATCCCCACCTCGCTTCCGCTCCTCCCTTCTCCTTCCCAACCCAATCCAATCTTACCAATCTTTTTGCTCTTCTTTCGCCAATTCTCGTCTCTCCTATGCCTCCTCTTCGCCTCCTTCGTCTCTCCTATGCCTCCTCTTCGCCTCATCCGTCTGTCCTATGCCTCCTCTTCTACTTGTCTCTCCCATTCCCTCTGCTCGCCAATTATCCCAGTTCCTCTCTTCTCCCAATCCCTCCCCTTATCATCTAATCCCTTCTTCTCCTAATCCTACTCTTCTCCAAACGCCAATTCTCGTCTCTCTCATTCCTTCTTTTCATCCATCTTTCCCCCATTCCCAAATCATCCTTCTCTTCATCCTAGTCTTTCCCATCCCCCTCTTCTTTTCCTCGTCTCCTCCAGTCCCTCTCCCCTCCCATCCCTCTCTCCCTTCCTCTAATCGCCTCCTTTCCCAGTCCTACTCTTTTCCAATCGCCAATCCTCGTCTCTGCTATTCCTTCTCTTCTCCTCCTTGTCTCTCCCATCCTTTCCCTCCCCCAATCTTTTTTTCTTCCTTGTCTTCGTTTCTCCTTTCCCTACCCCTGCCCCCCCGCCTCATCTCCCCTCCTCCCCCGCACCTCATCTCTCCCCTCCCCTCGCCACTTCTCTCTCCTCCCCCCCTTTCTCCATCTCTCCCTCCCCCACGCCTCTCTCTCTCTCCCCCCCCCTTTCTCCATCCCTCCCTCCCCCAATCCTTCTCTTCTCGTCCTCGTCTCTCCCCTCCCCTTCTCCACCCCCTCCCCCTCCTCTAATCCCCGCCCACTCCAAGCAGACAAGCTTTCTGCTCTCTGCGACTCAAGGCTTTTGTGCAAATGCTGTAAGTGGAATGAGCAACGTTTGAGAAAGAGCTCCTGGGAAGGGGAGAGAGAGGGAGAGGGTGAAAGAGAGGGAGAGGGAGAAGGGGAGGGTGAAAGAGAGAGAGAGGGAGAGGGTGAAAGAGAGGGAGAGGGAGAAGGGGGGGGGTGAAAGAGAGGGAGAGGGAGAAGGGGGGGGGTGAAAGAGAGAGAGAGGGAGAGGGTGAAAGAGAGGGAGAGGGAGAAGGGGGGGGGGTGAAAGAGAGGGGAGAGGGAGAAGGGGAGGTGAAAGAGAGGAGAGGGAGAGGGTGAAAGAGAAGGAAAGGAGAAGGGGGGGGTGAAAGAGAGGGAGAGGGAGAGGGTGAAGAGAAGGAGAGGGAGAGGGTGAAAGAGAGGGAGAGGGAGAAGGTGATGAAAGAGAGGGAGAGGGAGAGGGTGAAAGAGAGGGAGAGGGAGAGAGGGGAAGGGGAAGGAAAAGAGAGAGAAGAGAGAGGGAGCAGGAGAGAGAAGGCGGAAGGGGTAGGAAGAAAGGGAGAAGGGGAGAGATAAAGAAAGAGAGAGGGGAGAGGGAAGGAGGGGAAGAAGGGGGAGCCTGAAAGGGAAAGAGAAAGAAAGGTTCAGAAAACTGAGGTGTGACAGAACAAAGGAGAGAATGGTAGAAAATGGAAGAGGATGAGAGAGAAGGAGAGATGGAAGAAGAGAAAAGGAAGAGAAAAAGAGAGACACAAGAAAGAGCTCAAGAGGAATTAAGAGAAGGCGAAGAGAGAAGAGGAGAGTGTATGAGTTGGATAGATGACAGAAGAAATAGAAAGAGAGAAGGTTGCACACCAGCGACGCCTAACTCCACTCGCTAACTTCCACTCCCACTCCCACACTCCACTCCCACTCCCACTCGCACTCCCAGTCCTACTCGCATTCCCACTTCCACTCCCACTCCCATTCGCACTCCCAATCCCACTCCCAATCCCACTCGCACTCCCATCCCAATCGCACTCCCACTCACTCCCAAGAATCCCACTCGCACTCCCATCCAATCCCCAATCGCACTCCCAATCCCATCCCATCCCAATCCCAATCGCACTCCCAATCCCAATCCCACTCGCTCGCTGGAGTTGCTCCTGGTCTCACTACTTAGGCTCGTTACTTCGCTTCTTGTCGTTTCTTTTTCGTATTTTATCGTCATCGTCAATCACAATTAGACCTAATTATTATATTCTTCGTCAT